TGAGGGGCTGGGGGGAGGGTGGTCGTGTTCCTCCCGGTGAGAGCCGGGCGGAAGTGTCACAGGCGGCGTCTCAAGTCTCAGTGCTATAAATAGAATGACGACATACTGCAGGGGCTGTCTGTACCGGAGGGCAGGGGTCGTTACCGCGGGAGGTGGCGGCGGTGGGTCCGGAGCGGGCAGCAGCCCTCAGTGGGTCCGCGATGGCGCCCTTGGGTTTGCATCGCTGTGCCCACAGTACTCTCTGCCGCCTCCGTGTGACGGTGGATTTCGGAAGAGGCGTTTCCCCAGGCCAGGAGGTTATTAGGTAGCACCCAATAATAGCATGTATAATAGCAGCAATATAGCGCATTTATTACTGGGTAGCGCCCATCAATGGCATATATAATAGCAAGAATAACTCGGCATCAACTGAGTTTTGACAAGGCCTCTCCCTTTAGAGAGCAGGTGGTTTGGCAAGGATACAGCATCCTCATGCCACTGTTGCTTCTCAGTATTTTGACTGGCATGCACTTGAGTAGTCCTGGTGTTTTCTAGCAATAATCCATGGGTCGCAAAGCTTGAAATCATTTTGAGGTACCTGTCGGCTGAAGCTGACGCAGATTTTAATTCTTGCTGGTTTTGCCGATCAGGCAGGCCTGGGAAGCTTCTCCTGAAAACTGGATTCTCTTGTTTGAAGAAAGGAGTAACTGCCCATCTTTGAAGAAACTATAAACCTGTATTTCCATGCACTGTGACCTTTTTTTTTTTCCTTTGCTTTTATTGTAAATGCTAGTTTTAATGGATGTTTCTTACTTTTTTTTTTCCTTCCCTTTGGAAGACAAGGAATTAGTCTAGATGCAGTAAATTGGAAGAAATGGAAGAAAGGAAAATTAAGAGGAGGAGCCCCAAGTCATCTACCAGTCACCCTGCTCAGGTTACTAACTCCAAGAAAAACTCAGTTCCAGTCAGTAAAAGTACAGCCTTTTCAAATCCTGCACCACAGCCTGCAGTACAAAAGCCAAAGTTAAAACGGTAAGCTTGGGAGCATCCTGCAAGGTCCGTGGAAGTGAGAGCCAGAAACCTGCCAGTGCTCAGACAGTCTAAAGGGCGTTTAGACTGGCTGGGACAGAATGAAAAGAGAAGAGCTTCAGACTTGTGAAAATTTTGGATGATGTGTCCGTTTTTGCAAAGCGATTTGTGTTTAATGCAATATAGTGGTTGTTTTACAGAAAAAGAAGATTCTCGATACCACTCTTGTAAGCTTTGTAAAGTGTTACACAGTTCTGTAGACTCACACTGATAACAATTTAGCTGAAGAGATGATAGCCCGATGTGGCTGGTGAAAGACGTGTTGGGTGATCAAATATGGCAAACGTGGGCATCATATGGGAGATAGCAGAGCCCCAGATGTACAGCTGTGAGGAACAAGTAAAATATTACATGACTACAAGGTTGGAACTCACAAGTAGGGCAGGAAATGAAGGACATAAATTGAACAGGATGAGCTAGAACTGGAATTTCGGTGTGGTTTTTGTTTGGGGATCCATCAGTGGGGGCAGCAGTAGCTCCTAGGCTATATTCTTGTGCAGAAGGAGGCATTCAGCTTTTCAGAAAGTACCATTTTGGAATAGTTTGTGTGTTATTGATGATGCATCTATTTCAGTTTGAGAATGTTAATTTTCCTGTATTAGGAAAAATATTTCTTGGCTGTGACAGATACAGTAGATAAATGAGTAAAGAGAGATTTTAAAGTGAAATGTTAGCTAGAGAGAGGCAACAGAATGTATTGATCTTTAAGTATTAGCTGAAGATTAAATACTGAACTGTCCTCTTTCGCACAGATAAGTATGTTTAAAGGACCCAGTATTGGCCTGATGGAAACATAGTGCATTTCTGCAGTGTGTTAGTATTTTGAGGGAAATAATCATAAATACTGATGTGCTATAAATTGGTGGTGGCAGCAGCTGACTGTGCAGTTTATTAAGACTCAATGCTATTCTGGTTAATGTACTAGAAATTCACTTTTTGTAGCCCCTAATATTGGCTAGAGAAGAAAATGTCCTTTTTGCTTTAAGTTTTGGAAAAGGACATTGCTCAGTTGTTAACTGAAGCTTACCAAGCGGTGGTAATACAGACATTCTTCAAGCAGGAGTGGTCATTGACATAATAATGTGAGGATGCACTGCTGTTATGGTAGTGGAGTAGGAGTATTTAATTAATTTTTCACTTCATCTACAAGAATCTAATGAAATAAGTTTTCCAGGAGTGGTAATATATTGTGTTAAACTTTGGGTACAGGTGGAAAAAAGATCAATGAACTTTCTGGCACACAAACCTTTCTTTAAGTCTGAAATTGAAGTAGAAATAGCCCAAGTTAAACCTAAATTGAGACATGTTGCTCTGAATTGAATGAGATGTGATAATTGTTGGACCATTAGTTATTCCAGCATATAGACTATATAGTAGATGTTTATAGACTGCAGAAGCTGTTAGGCTGGAAAAAGAACAATTTTATACCATAGGAAAGAGAGAATTTATGACTCTCAGAGCATGGGAATATTTAAGGGAAGGATGGAGCTTACTATGCTGTAAACCCTATTATCTTCACTAATTAAATAAAGCCTTTTTACTTAAGCCTGTGATTTTTTTTTTAATCTCCATAGTATTCTGAATTTTAATTTTTAGACTCAAAATTTTTCACTGAATCAGATTCTGAACAGACTCATCATGAGGCTGCAGAAGCAGCCATGTGAGAGGAAGGCTCTGTGCACACATGGGTGGACAAATCAGGGGTGAAAACAGCCCCTTACCTGAACTGTATTAGGTTAGGATGCAGTCAGCCTGTCTGTCTGTCTCTGGGTCAGAGATGGAATCCGCTGTTTCTCAGGGGTAATTGAGTGTTTAGCTTCCATATTGATTGCATGTTCATTTGGATTTATAATTGTTATTCATTTTCATTTGTGTAGTTTCTATGGGTACATGGTGCTCTGAATAAATTTTATGTCTGGAGAAAAAGGTATGAATTAGGGAATGTTGATGGGTTTGTTGCAGAGGGGGCTGTAGAGAATTTTTAATCACATTTAACATTTGTTCAGGCATGGACTAGTTCCATTTGGTATGTGAGGACTGGGAGATTGCTTTTGATGTTGAGTTTTACAAAATTGGGATGTTGTTTGAAGATGGGGAGAAGGAGCTCTAGGAAAATTGATCCAGAGGCAAGGTCACTTTCCTGTATGGGTTATAACAGTTGTTTCCCACACTGGTTGCAGTCTATAGGTGTTGGCGACAACAGGAGCATGTGATTGCTGAAGGTTTTTCTTTCTGACTTAAAGGGAGTCTGCAGATGCTTTTGGTGTTATTTTATGTCCTATGTGTCATTGTTGGGTAATGCTCCTCTTTAGATTACTAAGGTGACCATTACGTATATGTGTTCTATTGATGTTTCCTACTATTAATAGGAAAGCAGGTTGTTGGAATTCATTTTGCACTATCAAACTGTCAATAGTAATGTTGTTCTTTATTCTTAAGACAAACTGGTGATCCATTTTTTAACTGAAAAGGAGTGATTGAAATACATATTATGTATTTTTCCATTTCATTCTCAAAGCCCAGATGTACAATTATCTTACATCTCAGATTCTCAGTGAAAGCAGGAAGTAATCTTTTTGTTTTGTTTAATTATATTTTTTTTCCAGTGTAATAAAAGAGAAAGCCAAACCTCCAGGAGGTGAAGCAAAAGGGGCACAGGCAGCACCAATCCAGCATTCTTTTCTCACAGATGTATCAGATGTCCAGGAAATGGAAAGGGGACTTCTGAGTCTCCTGAATGACTTCCACTCTGGCAAACTTCAAGCATTTGGTGAGTGCATAAACTGCCTGTATACAATAGCTGTTTTTAAAGCTATACGATGGTAACATTTGCAAACAAGTGTGCTGTGTGGACAGACCGCCAGTTTGTCATACTGGACTCTGCCATATGAAATGAAGTTTAACATAATTTAAAAATGCAGTAAGATCTATTAATTATACTCTTATTGTAAGGTGTGAGATTGTTCAAATGCCATTTCATTGTTCCTTCCAGCACAGTTTACCAAAGGCAGTATACCTTGGCTTATGGATTTAAGATACCAAGTTTAAAGCCACTCACTTATGATAGTATAGGAATAATAAGAAGTAATGGTATTTAGCACCTGATTTTGCTGCATACTAACACGTTAGACTATTGGTAACAACTTTTATGGAATCCAATGCAAGTTGCATTTTACCTAGCTTACTCTTCTGTCTTAGCATCTTACTATTCTTACTACTTCACAGTTGATGGAGGTTTCAGGGAAACTATGACACTCTTCTGCTTCCTTTTTTCCCCCCTATACTGAGTAGCAAGATGTATGTGTGCTTTTGCAGGTTTAGCGTTAGGTCAGCACGTCACATTAATTCTACACCGATTTTCCAAGACAACCTGAAAAGTCGGTGTTAGATAAAACATCAGTCACAAGATAGGTACCCCCAAGATTAACCAAAAAAAGAAAGAAGGCCTATTGTGATTGTATTTGAAGTTAAAAACCAGGGCCTTCCTAAATCGGAGAGGAATGCAAGAGTGTAGAAAAAAACATATATATTCTAAAAACCAGTCAGTACATTTGGTAGTTAGAGTAAGTTCAGCACAACATAACACCAGAGAGGGTGATAGAAACTTCAGTAGCGGAACAGGGAGAGATCACTCAGAAAGCAAATTAACTTGTAAATTTGATGTTTAAATTCCTCTTCTCTGATGTAAAAAGCTGCATCTTTGCACCTTTGTTTGCTCTCTCAGGTTTCTTTATCTAAAGCTGTTGCTCATCCTTTTAGGAAATGAATGTTCTATAGAGCAGATGGAGCATGTGCGGAGTATGCAGGAGAAACTCGCTCGTCTCAATCTGGAGCTCTATGGGGAGCTGGAAGAACTCCCTGAAGATAAAAGAAAACTAGCCAGTGACTCCAACCTGGACAGGCTGCTATCAGATGTACGTACTGGGAAGGCAGAACACATGGGCCTTTACCCACAGAACTCGGCTCAGGAAAACAACACCACTGGGTGGGCAGTGATTTACACTTGAGGAGAACATAGTTCTGTAATGAACCAAGGCATAAGCCCTACCCTCATCATGGTTTTGAGAAAACACAGTACCTTGTTTTCTTTCTTTATAGGCTGCTGCTTGTTTTGGCGAGTGGAGCAGTCTAGCTGTAAACTGCCTGAGGACATAGGCCTGTTTAGACAGCCAATGTACCAGGGAACTATGACCAGTTTCCCTGTGGTCCATCCTCCTACGTCTGGGGAAGCCCATATGTAACAAGGAACTTAGATCTGTATATTCTACACTTTCAGTTTCTCCTTTCTCTAGCATATTTCCATAAAATCCAAAACTGTTAAAATTTCTTTTAAATTTCCTGAGCACTGTAAATTTAAACTTAATTTGGGACTTAGCTCTGTTGGCATAGAATTCAGTGCAGGTTTGCTTTGCTTTTTGTAATAAAATCATACGTTTCAGCCCAAACTATTAGTGGTTCCCTTCATTGTTTTAATGCATTTTTTTATCATATCAGCGTAATTATTGCACTTATTTGACTGAAATGCCATTTCTAATACTTTCTACATTTACATTGCAGCTAGAAGAACTGAATTCATCTATGTATCCTTTTCCTTAAATGTGTATTTTGCATTATAATTATTGTTAACTGTAATTAAATTACAGTATATTTCCCCAGTAACTGGTGTCTCTCCAGGAGTCAACTCACTTTCAGTAATGTCCTTTCTTTTACATTAGTACGTAATACAGCATGGTTTTTAGGTTCTTCCAATACATAAATGACTGGATCTTAACTCTTGTAATTACAGGCTCTTTTTTTCATATGATAATTTATTTAGCTAGTGTGTACCACTTTAGAAGACATGTTGACAGTTGATGGCAAAACCTGTCAGAAGCAGGGTCTTTCTGCATGCTTCTTGCTGTTGCTGAGACATTCTGGAACAAACATACATAATATTCCTTCCATAGTATTCAGAAGTGTTCTGTCCTGTTGGTAAGTGAATCCTATTACCTTTCAGTTTTCTCTAGAAATATATGCAGCTGTTTATCACTGATTTTACTGTGAATAGCAAACTGACCTTCAGCAGCGCTTTGGTAACTGAAACAAATATGTGTTTTTAGCCCACCCAGAAGAAGATAAAGCTGAATGTCTTGGCTTGTCTTCTACATCATGCTTTTGGTAAGCTAAGAACACAGTTGAAGAGTGGTGTGTTCCGCTTACACCGCGGTCTAGTTCTTTCTGATGTTACACACTTTGTATGCGTTGAGGGTGGTGGGATGCTGGTTTGGGACTTAAGATACTACACTGGAATATACATTCTTTGTGTCTATGGAAAGCTGTTGAAGGCTAGGTCTCATATGGAACACAAGTGGAATGTGATAATAATATCATGTGATAGTGATAAAAATAATCTGCCATCCCCCTTGATCCACCAGCTGATTCTGAAGGCATATAATACTTAAGTCTCATCGAGGAAGATTAATCTACTAGTTGAGAACTAGCATAGGAATTAATAGAACTGAATTAATCTGGACTGGTGCATACCTGTCACAGGACTAAGCACGGTTTTGTGTAACACTGCCATCTTGTTTATACCTTATCTATGTGTGAAAATAGTGTTCCTTAATGGTTTGCTTCAGCCAAAAATTACATTTAGCGGATGCTCAAGATATTCCAAATAGCACCACAGGCTGAAAGAACAGCTTTGTCACTTTGGATTCTCCGAGAAGCTTTTCTTTTTCCTGACAGTGGAATCTGGAACAGTTGTTCATTTTTTTTTTTGGTTTTGAGTCGTTTTTATTTTTAATTTTACACAATGAAGAATCAAAGTGCAAATCCAGGTGTTTATTTTTTCACATTCCGCTTTGAGCACTGCATTATGTCAGGACTCAGTATCTAGAGTTTTAAGTAGGTGGTTGTGATGCTATGCTTTTTATTATTGCCTTATTTAACAGAAAAATTGGGGAAACTTGAAAGTACATTTCTTCTGCTCAGTGTTGTTCATATGGTTGAAAACTATATATGTATATAAGTTCATTAGCGTTTCTCCAATTTTTATGAAAGTAGCAATGATGTTGCCTTTCTGCTCAGCCTGTAGACAATCTGCACACTATATCTGTAGTGTTTTTATTGATCAGTGATGCCACAGATTAATTTATTGTTAATAAGATAAAACATTTTAAATATATGATGTTTCATTTAGAGAAGTTGCTATCTGTTCAACTGTGTTAAGAAGATAAGAGTTCTTACATGGTTGGAATGTTTGCAGCGTTTACTTTTTTTCATTACTGTGGGTAATTACAAAATGTGAGTAAATTAGAGCTGGCAAGCATGCTAGAATTCCACATAATTTGATTTTGTAAAATTCCAGAACTGGGTAAACAGTTACTGTTCAATAAATCCAGTATGTATAATTTTGTAGTCATTCCTATGTTATAAATAGTTCGGTATTAATTCGTATCATCTTTGTGTTCACAGTCAGAGAAAAAATTCTATATTAGTGTAAAATCAGGCTGGTTTTAGATCCCAAATTTCTATCCTGACTCATCATACTATGCCTTTGGTTCTAGATTTATTTCATACTCAGTTTTTAGGTAATACATTCAGATTCTATATTGTGTATACTTACTGTACACGGAATGAAATCTTTATCCTTCTACTTGAGAGCAAAGTTTTCATCAGCCCGAAGTGGGCATGGGGTCAGGGAACAAAAGATGCCCGTTGTTTAGCATCTTTGGAGAAGATGCTTCTTCAGCTGCAGGATGTAGTTGTGGATCCCATTAGCTCCAGCTCCTTCTGGAACCACACGTAGTGCCATGTCTGCACTCTGCAGCTGGGGGTAGAAAGATCATTTGAACACCACAGTGTGCTCTGGCTACAAATTGAGCCTCAAACACTGTTATTCCCTGCCTCACCTATCAGGCAAATCTCAGTGACTAACAAACCAGTAAGACTTTTTCCTAACATTCCCCGTTGGGCTTGTCTTGTTCCTTATGTGATTTGTTGTTGAGATTCTCTAAGAGTTTTGCCTGCTGGTAAAATTACCTCTAAGTACCAGCCTGCTGCGGAATGAAATCCAAAGTCAGCTTAGGAGAACTAAGAATACAACATGCTTCTCACAAAACAAAGCCAAGTTTTTCTTTCCCCACTCTTTAACCAACACTTGGGCAGTTATCCTTTTCTGCACAGTAACTTCTCCCCGTCAGGACTATGGCCTTGTTTCTGTGCAGACTTCTGAAGACCAGGCAAAAGAGCAGCGTGGTTTAGCCTCACCCCTCAAGGCGTGTAACGCACGAGGCTAGTTATGGTGGCAAGAGTCGCTAGCAGAGCTGCGATTATACAAGAGAAAGGACATTCTTGCAGCTTTTGATGGGGGAGAGCTGCACCCTCGCTAGCAACATGTTGCCAGTGAAGTACGTCCTGGCATTGTAACGCATACTGGTCCCAAAGCACACTTCAACCAGTAGTTTTCATGCTTTAAGCTATTGTAGAATAAAGAGAATTCTTTCTCCTTTTGGGGCTCTGTCATCTATCTCCACTTAGACTTCATGACTTCAAAACACATTTCAAATAACTTAAGAATGTGTGGTCAGTTGGATGTCTTGACCTTTAAATTTCTGTAGCAATTTATGCAGGTACTTAACACATAGGTATAACTTGAGATATGGGCATGAACAAGTTTTTCACAGCGAGGGTGGTGAAACACTCGCACAGGTTGCCCAGAGAGGTGGTAGATGCCCCATCCCTGGAAACATTCAAGGTCCGGGGCTCTGAGCAACCTGATCTAGTTGCAGATGTTCCTGTTCACTGCAGGGGGGTTGGACTAGGTGACCTTTAAAGGACCCTTCCAAACCAAACTATTCTGTGATTCTATCAGATGAGAGTCAGTGGTATTAAATTAACTGCCTCTTTCTTCAAAAACAGCAAGACAAATTATTAAGGCAGACATCTTTTGTTTAGAAAATACACTGAACCTTAAGTTTTAACATAAATAAGTAAAGACTGATTTTTTTTTCCCCAGTAAGTTTATTAAAATAACAGATGTGTCAAACACTAGCATACCCATGCTGAGCTGTGTCCTGATGTTCTCATTTGTGTAAAGGAATAGAAACATACATTTATCACGGCCCACTGACCTTGCAGGTAGTGCTTTACAACTAGAGTAACACAAAGGTACAAGGAACAAAGGCATAAGGACAAATAAAAAAAAAAAGCCTGATTAAATTTGGATCATGACCTTCTGTAAATTTAGTTCTATCAGTAAGAAATTGGAGTATTTACTGCAGAGTTCAGTGGCACGTTGGAGCCTTACAAGCCACACGCAATGTATTGAGACTTCACAACTATGTTGCATTCTTTGTATTTTATATTGGATATTGATTATTGATGCCTATTCAGTATCCCCACTGATCCCAATTCATCATGGTTATGTTGCAACTCAAAGTATTCACCTTTAGCACAGTGGATGAAGGGATTCTGAAACATCGGTGTAGGATGCTTAGCATTTTTCATATGCTTCAACTCTTGAAACATGTGTTTGTACTTTCAGTTCTATTCATTACAGAAATTTAAAAATGCTACCTTGCTCTCCTCACCTTCCCAAGGCAGATAGAGAGTTGAGTATGTCTGGTTTTTTTATTTCTTCAAACACAGTCTCATGATTTTTGCAGGAGTTGTTACACTCATCTTTCACATAAAAAAATAAAGGAGATGACACATTTCCCATAAAAGGCAATAAACCCCAACTCCTGCCCTAGGACAGGAGCAGATGTGGGAATGCTTTGGCCACTTAAAATCTCAACCTTCTTACAAGAAATCAAACCTCCTGTTTTCACGTGGATAATTTCCCCAACTACTCCCCTGCATAAAATACCAACTATTGTCGGTGCAAGAGGTGCTGTGAGGGTACTTTTTTCTAGAAAGGACTTGCTCAGGGCTTACCTATCACAGGGCAGCTGGGTGCAGAGCTCGTTTCTTAAAAATGAAGATGGCAGCCAAACGTGGTCTAACTATCCCAAAGCACAGGGGCAGGCAAGCAGGCTTGCTGCATGTTAGAGCTCTTTCTTCTAAACGCACTTGCATTTCATCACTCCTCGCACCACCGAGTCTGGCACTTCGTGTCAAATGTCACATACATGAATCAGTTCTGTCCATACGCAAACACCGTGTTCTGAGTTCAGAGACTATTTAGAATTGCTAGCACAAAACATGTTTTAGCCAGCAAGACTGGAAATTCATTCCCTTTTAGTTACAAATAATTAAATTCACCCTCAGTGATCTGTGCCTTGTACAATCTTACTGTCGTCATCACAAAACATGGGCTTTATTTCTCACAGCCCTCTTCACTCGCTATAAAAAGACAGAATATCTATATGAATGAGTACATACCAAATCCTTGACTGACTGCCCAGAAGCGCAAAACATTTGATCATGGGAACAAGACATCGGCGCAGGCCCCACATAACAACTGCACTGCGAAAAAAGAGAAGGTATTTTTATTAGACCTTCATCAATAAAGCAAATGGAAACACAGATTTAGATGCGCCAAATTACCGTGCCGTTCTCTGAGCTGGCTCTTGGTGGAAATCTAGGCTGCAGCAGGCTACCCCTTGTTACAGGGAATGCAAACCAGCTGCAGAGCACGTTTTAATTTGTAGGTAGCAACCTAGAAGGGCTTCATGCTAGTTGCATGTTTGCTTCTTGGCTCTTGAGAACATGCTACTATTGCTATACCATATTATATAGTTTCTTTACCACCACTAAAAGCTTGCAGGAAAAAAAGCGACACATTCTTTCAGCACTGCTTTTGAAGAAACAAAGGCTATATCTGTCTTAATCTGGCAGCAGAGAAACTGATTGTATCACTCCCAAAAACAAGGCTCTAGATGTTCAAACTACTGGAGATAATTTCAACACAAAATACAAAGCAACTCTCAGTATGATTAATAAGATTGATTAGTAAGCGTAGCAGAGTACACTGCACGTGCGAAACAGCATCAAGAATGCAAATACCCGTGCTCACGTGATTTGGCCTTTGGTGCACAAACAGCTTGAGGGAGGAGCTCAACTTCTCTTTTCAAACTCATTAACTAGATATGTCATCTTTGCCTTCTGATGCCGCAGTGATTGTTGTCTTCTGCGCCAGAAGTACTTGCAGTAGACGCACTGTAAAATGCAACATCTTTAATGGAAACCGTGAGGGTTTTACCCTAAGAACATGACTTAAATTGGAAGTTGGCAGGAGACGTGGTTTCTAAGGCAAGGCAATGTCTGGAAGGTACCAGACTTCTGAGTTCCAGATTGGGCTGAAACAACTGTTCTCAGAATCTCATGAAACTACCTCAGCAGATTTAATTTAAACCTACAGTCATGGATTCAGAAAGGCATACAAACAAAAAACAGCGGTCCCCTTGCAGCCTAGCGCTCAAGCGGTTGCTGGTCTGAAATGGAAAACTTGATAGCCATTTCTTAATTTTTGCCATGCACATTTGAAAGTTGTAGCCCCTTGGGCTAAATCTACCTTGGGAGAAGATGAAAGTGTGCCAAGTGGGGATTTACAACGAAGAGCATTACCAGTAATTTGTACTTTACAAACATCAAAACCACGTTTTTAAACTCCCTGCTCCCCATATGGCAACAGCACTGGAAAAGTCTTTCTTTGCCGTCAAACGCACCAAGACATGGTATAAAAATAAACAGAGTGGCTGAACGGCCTAAGTTTATAAATCTGCAATCCTGCATTATTAGGTAATGAAGTTGCTTTTTCTGCCAGAAAAGTTGGGTCTTCAATAGCAAATGAAAAACATGTTACAACAGAACACACTATTACTTCTGTAAACATATGTAGCCAAAGAACTGCTGGTGAGCTGGATCGGGGGTAGAACCAGCACCCCCTCAAAGGGTCTCTCTGGGTAGGGCTTCAGAAACATTCCAAAATTGTGCGTGCTGGAAAAAAAACCCCAGCCTGGCAGGGCTGTAACCTTGCACACTGGGGTGCTGCTGACTCTTCACTCGTTCTCCCTAGGGAAAAAGTCTTAACAAATAGCAGCAGGGTATAACGGTGGGAGATTTTTAAAGCATTGACTCTATCAGGCATTTGCTTGGAAAACAACTCTACAGCATGTATTTTCAAAATCCTCCAGTTTCATTTTTTAAGTTTCACTACTAAATTAGGAACGTTCTGTGTCAGTTTGAAAGGTGT